GAGAGAACAGATTGACGTAGCAGACACCTGTTCCGCCTTCAGAAAAACCCCAAACAGCGTCAGCCACCGTCCGAGTATCTGCGGACCACGTGAACCTGCCGCCACAATCATGTTGTTGTACCCGTCGTAGCAGATTCAGCTACCTGCGGAGAAGTTGTTCTGGAAGGCAACATTCTATTGCTCCTGGGAAAACGAATAGGCATCACAGGAGAAATAACTGAACTTCAGGATGGGCGCACTGCGGTCCTCATGACGAACTTCCGACAAGAAACGCAACACCCCTCGAAAGATATCACTGTGGGCCATGTCGAGGAACTCCGGAACTAAGTCGAAATCACCGCAAGAACTGAAGAGTCCTCGTCACCTCAGCAAGACAATATGTCTCCCGCACAGCTCGACATTGACCCGAGCTTCCGGACCCGAAACGACGGCGGTTGATTAACCTCCTCGCCGAATACCGGGATTGCTTTGCGACGTCGTCGAAGGTGAGCAAAACCACCACCGTTGAGAAGCATTGCATCATTACCGAGGATGACGTGCTCCCTGTGCATCGGTCACAATACCAAGTCTCCATAAAAGAAAAGGGGGTCATTCAGGAGCAAGTACATGAAAATGCGGAACAACGATATAATCCAGCCTTCAAGCAATCCGTGGGCCTCATCAGTAGTACTGGTTAAGACGGAACGCTTTGGTTTTGCGGGGACTATCGACAGCTGAACACAGTGACGAAGACATGTCTATCTACTTCCTTGCATCGACCAAATGCTAGACCGGCTGTGTCACTCTCGGTATTTTTCATCGATAGACTTGAAGAGCAGCTACTAGCAGATCGAAGTTGACAAACAGGACCGAGAGAAGACAGCCTTCGTCACGCCGGATGAACTGTAGGAGTTCAAGGTAATGCCCTTCGAACTATGCACGGCGCCAGCAACTTTCCAGCGTGTCATGGACACCGTACTGGCGAGACTGAAGTGGCAGACCTGTCTTGTCGACCTCGACGACGTCATAGCGTTTTCAAGTTACTTCAACGTGCACTTGCGACGACTCCGAGCTGTTCTCCAAGCCATGCAGTCCGCCGGACTCGCAGTCAAGCCGTCAGACTGTTCTTTCGCCTCTGACGAGTTGATGTTCATAGGCCACATGGTTAGTAACATTGGCGTCTGCCCAGGCACCAAGAAAACTCGTGCAGCCGCGGGATTTCCAGCGCAGACAGACAAAAAGGCCATGCAAAGATTCTTTGGACTTTGTGCCTACTTTCGACGTTTGTTTGGGATTTCGCAAGGATTTCTACACCGCTCACAAACCTTACGAAAGATGCCGAGATGTTTGAATGGGCCGAGGAGCAACAGCAGGCATTCGCAGGCTGAAGCGAATACTCTAGACTTCTCCTGTTCTTAGACCCTTTGAATAGGACGCAGAAACCAAGATTCACACAGAAGCTAGTAGTGCAGGACTCGGGGCGGTACTGGGTTAAGTGCAAGGAGGCACTGAGCGAGTCATCGCCTATGCAAGTCGGACAGTGTCCAAGGCGGAGAGAAATTACTCAATTGAAGAAGAATGTCTTGCGGTCTGGGAAAATTGGCATAGAAAGTTCGGTGCGTAGAACATTCTAACCTCGAATAAGCAACAGGGTTCTCGAATTTACCAGAACTCAACATTTACAGATATAACGAAAAGGCGCGTCCACTTCCAGGCATTGAACCTTGAGCCCTTTGCATAGGAGCCAAAGACGATAACCATTCGGCCATGAGCGCGTTTGGTCGGTGACACTCGTGGCATTATAACCGGTATGAACTCTATCTACCCATAGGACTCTATATATTAAAACCATAGAGAACCATAAGACCCATATAGTACATTGGCTACAGTAGCAGCATCTTGGTAGTTTACTGGGGGCACGTTTTTCATTCATCTAAAACATCAATATCACACCAATATGCCATGTCGTGGGCAAGGTTTAGACTGGGGAACCAGCAGAACATTTTTAACAAAAGCAGTCAGTTACGAATTAGAGAAATTGCAGCAATGTCGCCGCTTAAATCACTTTTACCGGCGAATCTCCCTGTACTTTTAGGTTTAAAAATATGTTTGAATATTGTCACATTAGGGATGGAGGATACATAAGGAACCGAGCAGACATAATATGTACAAGCCCCCACCACGGAGGGAACTCTAGCGGCAAACAGGTCGGTTTAATCGGGAAGCTTCTGCAGTCGCTGTGTTGGTTGTACACTGCAGCGGCAGCTGTAGTAGTGGGTTAGCGGTGTAGTTTCTGAGATGGCTATTCCGCACTAAAAAAGCCAGAACAGTCGCTGCGTGGTTAGATGAAACACTAGATACAAAAATTAGCACGGCACAAAGTTTTATGGATTTCCCAGCTTCTCTTCGAAGCTGTACGCGGCAGAGCGCCGCGCGACCTGGGGCTGGGTGCGATTTGAGCATAAATGCAACGATTCTCGAAAATGTATTTTGAAAGAAACCTATAATAAACTATTCTATTCTATTCTATTCTAAGAAGCGTTTCTCACCTTGCAGTTCACGTTTTGCTATAAGCTGCTGACGAATAATACAATAAAATTTTTCTAGCGACAATGGAACAAGGACACCTACAGCAAACCAAAATATGCAGCAAGCACTTCACCAGGAAGGAGAAGCAGAACAAGGTCACCCACCCAAGCTACGACCCATCGATATTTTCATCGGCCTACAACCAAACGTTTTGGCTAAGGATTGGGAATCTGTTGCTGTCTGGAGGGCCGGAAAATATATATGTAAATATAAATGAGAAATAAGCTTAATCAAAAATCCTATATCAGCGCCTATATACAAAATTGAGTTAGTAAAAAAAGAAGTAGTCTAAGGTGGATGAAAATATGCACTTTATTTGAAATTCAATATTTAGTTAATTATTATATTACACAATTACTGGAAGCCAGAACACCTACAATGCATAAATCAATGTGCATAGGAACTTCGGCATGTTCACGGACGGCACGAGGCTAATAAGAATGACAGAAGGGATGCTGATATATGCAATATGTGTTATTCACTAGCGGTCATTGCTGAGCTCGCTAATGCTGAGCATTCACTATTGGCAAGCTTCCAACATGCCTACAGGCCTTGCACTGACGTCGCATCATCCATTTCGCACCACCACGGAAGACTGAGAGCGGAAAGCTGCTCTTGTACGAATTTTTAGTGACAGGTTAGTCTTCAAAAAGAGAATAGGACCGTCTGGGCGAGTCTGGAACACAAAAAGAAAAGCCCTGTTGAGAAGATAATTTCTCCCTCCCCTGCCGTGCATGCATTACGAGCAGTCACCTCAAATATGGCATCCAGTGTATACCACATATAGATACGACACAGGACACAAGCACAATATACAATATACAAGGTAAAGGAATTTTAACATACGTAGTTGCCCTTTGCTGAACACTTTCAACTGATCTTACAAGATAAACCTCATTGGAGTTTTGTATGAAGCTGCAGTACTCTAGGTGTTGCAGGACCAAGGCTGTGAAAGGCACCTAAGTGTGTTATTGCCTGTTCTACTAGGCATGCGAAGTACAAAATTCAGCGTTCCACACGTTTTGGACAAAATTGTTGACATGCTGTGAGAAGAAATGTAGCTGAATGTTTATTTCAGACCTTCTCAATGTTGTTCTGCAAACCCTCGTGGTTTCTGGGGTCACCTGATAAGCGGCACCAACATCCGGTTGTCCGTAACAGCAGTGGAGTCGATTGCAGAGAGGCATTATTGTGATTAATAAATATGTTGAGAACAATTGGACTGGGCACAGAGTCTCACGGAACTGTCCAGCACTTGGGCCACTGGAAATGGTTCCATGGTATGTACTGCACTCTGAGCGACTCAACTTCAAGACTTCTAGTATGCACACATTTAATTCGCGTTAATGAGCACCAGTGGCTCGCTGGGCAAGCCGTAGGACTCAGCTTTCACGAAAGGCGGGGCAGAGCTCGCAGCATAACACCACCTTGCCATGCTTGTGGGAGGTTCATACTCCAGGTTACGGCGTCGCCAAAAGGGTAATCGGAAAGGTACCAGGACCAGCACAGCTCTACACTTCTTAGAACGATCCTTTCTGTAAGCAGTGTTCTCCACTGTATCAATCGACAAGGTGACCGCCATAAACCGAATCGTGCATCCACGTTTTACGTACCGCTAGAACCGTCGTGGGATGAGTCTCGAGAGTGAGTAAAGGTGCATCAGCTTATTCGGGACCAAGTGCCCATTTTGAGAATTACACTGAGAGTTGAAGCAACACAGAAGCCTCGCGTCTCGCAGCGTCACCTGTAGAATGACCGTTGGGAGCGTCGGGACACTGTGAAGGTAACACCATTCACATCGAAGAGCTCACAACTGAAGGGGGGCTACCGAGTTTTTAAGAGCCACTAATCGTAGTAATCGCATTCCAAAGACGCCGGGTTGTCGTAGATTGTCTTTCACCAGCTAGGTCATGTAGGGCTGAGGCCAAGGCTGGGGGATCCGACGCCGGAAACGTGCAGAAACAAAGCAGACGACGTGAGGCTCGCGGAGTCCGAGCCACGATCCGAGAAGCCCTAGTTGCAGCCTTGCCTCCGAGAAGACTGGATATTCTTTCCGGCGGGCACACAATACTTAGACAGCACACCTGCGGCTGATGCGGATCGCAAGAGGTGGATAACAGGACGATCAGTGAACAGCCAATAGGTCCAGCACGGCACAGAGCACGAACAGAGACGATTGTCGCCGCCATGTTAAAATAAAACGAGGCTGAGCCAGGCCAAGCTTTGGTTTAGTATACGCATACTTTATTACAAATAAATATATAAATGTTGAAACAGTTTTTATTTATGTTTAAAATTTGTAATGTAAGTCGATTAAAACAGGAACATTTACGTTGCGTCAAATGAGTTTCGTCGTAACACCGGTCGTCAAACCGTGGTCAAACCAGCGAACGTCGCCGCATCGCCATCACCATCGTCACCAAAATCAAAAACAAACCAAGCTGCAAACTCTCGGGCCACCGTATTTCGGGCGGTTTCAGGCCTTTAGGCTTACGGAAAAACATCGAGGAACGTTCTTGAAGAAACAAAGTGTCCCAGGTGCCGGCGTGCCCATAGAGCCAGCTGTGGGTTTCAGTCTACTTGGTGAGTACTTTTCCAGCCCTTTCTTTTCGGAGCGTGTATGGCGTGTTCTTGTGTGTGCAGGCAGCGTGAAAGCGGACGTGTGCGGTTCCTTGTCGCACACATTCTTTGCGCATTGGATGATCCTCAAGCTTTTTCCAAGGAAGTACCGGAACCGACCTGTCACTGAGCGAGCAGTCAAATGGCGGGAACGGACCCAGAGGCAAGGTCCCACGGGAGCGTGGGGCGCCGAGCGAGGCGCTTGGTGAGTGATCGGGGAGCTTTATCTCTTAGATCGGTGTTCAAGGCTTGAGTCCTGCAAATCGAGTGGCGGCTTGGTACCACCTAGCTAGGCGGTGTGTTCTGCGGAACCCATGACTGCTGAAGGTACCAGCTTGCGTCCTAGCGCTCGTATTTGCACCCCGTTTGTTTCCACTGTGGGAGGTCGGATCCAAGTTCGATTTTCGTCCTGGGAAACTACTCGAAATATTGCGTGACCTGCGCCTTTGGAAGTACCGTCTGTATTGGTGACGTTGCTTGCGAAGAGTATAAGGAGTTATTTTTCGACTGTGGCACGGACTTTTTATACGAAGTGCTGTATATGTAGCGCTCATTTACTAACCCTCTGGCAATACTTTATTGTGAAGGTCGGGAGAAAAAAAAAACGCGCATTGAGTAGTGCCAAAGAAAACAGAAAAAAAGGTGTTCCAAACAACTTGAGGAGACCATGAGCTGATTTTCAAGCTATTGCCTCCTCAGCTTTCCTCCTCAGTTCATAAGCAAAGTAAGAAATCACGTGGTCTTATTTCACTGGAACCCAAAGTTTTCGCAGCAGTCTGAGAGTCAGCGAGAACCAAGCCTTTGATAAAATTCACGCTTTACATTTTTGCTAGCACTAACAGCCAAAAAGTATAAATTACGTGTAAGCGATTGAGCGAGCGAAGAGACAAGCAATGGCAACCATTTTGCTATCACTCAGTCAGTCTCGCGACAAGGTAATCGCTTGAAAGCGACGGGAGCAAGCAGTCAAGTAATTGAGCGACATTTTCTAGAAATCCAAAAACCGAGCTACAGTGACAAGTCTCAGTTGCTCGTCTCGTTGCTTGCTAAACCGCTTACATGCGTTTCAGCCTTTATTGTGCGAATGCGAGAGAGACGTGCCACGAGTGAGTGCTGTGTTGCCAATCATTTCATTTAATTTATTTTCACCCTAAGGGCATGGCCAGGATTCGTGCAGTGTGCAACTCGTGCACTGGCACTTACGTGCCATTGTTATACAAATAAAGAAAAACAAGAAAAGGAAGCTCATTAATCATACACAGTGGCAATAAAATACCTTTAACAAGAAAAATGAATCCGTAAGCTTGCTAGAAATACTTCTGGGATTACGATGGTGGATGGTAGGCTGTTCCAGTCGCAGATGGATTGAGAACGGAAAGACTGATTGAATGCGTTTGTGGAACTGGAAATACAAGATGATGTTCATTCCGGAGGTGATAACAAAGAGTTCTTGAGGTCGGGGCAATGATAGTCGACTTTATGAAGGAGGCAGAGGCGAGATAGCTTTATGCCGAGCTGCAAAGAATTCACTTCTAAGTACCTCTCCTTTCAGGGCTATATTGCCATTTGCTTACAAGTGCTGCATGGGCTTCGTGCACTGGCACTTACACGCCAGTTCCAAAACTAACAAAAACACATCAGGGGGTTTTAGGCGGGTTAGCCATCCTATAAAATGGTGCTGCTCAGTTAATTTATATCAAGTTCAAAATGAACAGCACTCTTCATTGATGGCTGATTCATACGACGAACTGATCCACACAAAGGAGCACACTCACAAACGACAGGCAGGATGTACCAAACATGTTCGCGGCCCCACACTGCTGACAACTCTAACATTGTGCGATCACACTGTGACACAGTTGTCACAAATCGAAATCAACATTTTCTACTTTAAAAAAAGAACTCTGCGCCACTGTTACGTGCAGAGGGAGACTTAACACAATGATAGGCTTAGTGCGAAGCACCATTAGCTTTACTAAACAAAGTCATGATAAAAACACAAGCGTAGTCCTACTCGAGGAGACTTTGGCGTAGAAGCGACGAAGTCCTGGGCTCGCCACGGGGCATTTGGAGACGCCTTCACTCACTCCGTGCTTGCGCCTTCAATACACCACAGCCACAAGAAAGTAGGGGTGCCGCGAACTTTTGGCAAACCGGATTTTTAGGTCGAGCATTTGGGGTTCGACTGTGTCAAACCGGTTCGACAAACCTTCGAAACTTTTAACCAAATTTGACTTGTTCGACTTTGTGGACAGCGTGGCAAGACCATGATACAAGCATGTCTAGGTCTACAAAAATTGTGTTTCACTCAAAAGGTTATTTTAATTTTATAAACAGTTGCAAATAAAAGACACTAACTCTAACTACCGAACAAGTTAATAACTTACTTTTTTGTACTGTATTAACTGGAATAACCAATAGGTGCTGCCCTTAATACATCCCTTAGCCATCACCATCCAATCCGAAGCCAACTGGCCTGCATGTCGCGCGTGCGAAGAGCAGTCGAACATTTTTCTAACTTTTCGCACGAAGTTGGAAAAAGTCGAACCTGGTCAAACTCGAACGTCGGCTGGTTTGTGACACCCCTACAAGAAAGGTCTTGCTGGCTGAACGGTTCATTGGAGATGCAAAGCGCTTCCGTCGTTCTAGACACGATTTGACAGAAGCTTTTTGACGCAGATGAATACCGGAATCTGCACCGTGTCAGCCCGGCAAAGTTCCTCATACCAACTTTTCTGATATGAGAAATGGAATGAAAGAATGTTTTGTGGCAATAGTTGGGGTCATTTTGCTTTAAAAGTCTTACTTCCAATTTTCAGAAAGGCACAAGCATTGGAGACCAGCTGCCTCCAAAATCATGCCCCCCCTGCTTTCCTGGTAGTTGCTGTCGGTGAGTAACCTGAGCCTTTGTCTTTTCTACCTTTCTAATAGAAATGAATGGTTCTTCTACACGTGCTAAAGTGAGAAGTATGCTACTGCTATGTTTTTCAGTTTTTAACCCTTTATTTCCTCAGACCAAAAATGTTTCTTCAGCTTGGTTCAGATGCCCAATACATTCATGGAATATTGTGTCCAGAAATTTCAATTGTGCATTGTGTGTATGAATTGTGTGTATGTTTGGGGGGGAGGGGAGGGGGAGTTTACTTCGCTGGTCCATTTGGTAGACAGGACGTTGTGAGAAAGAGAAGTGTAGATAAAATACAAGTGCAAGTTTTATTATGAAAACCTTTTAATACGGGACTGATGAAAAAATTAGAATATGAAACAATATGACGTCCTGTCTTCCTCTTTCTTGTTACTTTCTGTAACCTAGTCTTGTGGCTTAGAATCATATACTACTACATAAGATTCCATGACATGGAAGGTACTGCAGCTCCTTAAACCCTTAAAAAACACATGCAAAGGAAAAAAAACATTTTTTTTTTTTAAAACAGCCTTGATGGAAAAAGATTGCTTTAGAACAAATTTACAACGAAAAAATACAATTTTTAGAGCTATATTTATGGCGCAAAACGAATTTGTAGTTGGCGCTCGTGAGAGCCGTCGCTGGTCACGTGTTAGACCTGTGCACCGCCGCGCTGTGTCGCCGAAGCCGCGGAGACCTGCTGTCGCCGCATGCTGAGCACTGTGCGCTGCCGCTCCAATGCATTTCTCCACGGCGGCGCCGCCGTCGTCGTGCAAGTTTGTGTGCTCTGGGGTGCCGCCGCCGTCATCTTACCGGTGCACAGGTTTATCACGTCTGCTTCCGCTTTTTCAGGAGCTTCCTTTGGGCTCTAAAAGTAACTTATTAATCTTTGTTGTTTGTTGCACTTCAAACGAAGATGAATAAGTAACTTTTCGAGACAATACGAACCATCCGAAAGAGTGCAAGTACCGTAGAATACTGTGCATCCGCCCACACCACACTAAGCGCCCATTCCCAAATTTGTAGGATCTGAGAAAATACACAAAGTACATTTATATGTAAAATTGATGAGCGAAGAAGGGCCCATCCCCGATTTTTTCACGATTATCTCTAAAGTTTGAGTGGGCGCTTGCTCGGTATTTTACGGCACCATGTGACAAATAGCGGCCAATCACGTGATAAATAAGGGCCACTTCTCCGCGGTGCCCGCGGGCGCCAACTACAAATTCGTTTAGCGCCGTAAATATAGCTCTAAAAATTTTTCTTTTTCGTTGTAAATTTGTTTTATGACTTCCTTTTCCTAATCCGGCTGTTTAAAAAAAAAAGTTTGCGTTCTTTGCATGTGTCCTTTAACTGTTTTAAGCAAGCCTAGCTCTTCCACCAAGAGCCGTTGTAGCACGTCCACGCATCCTACCTTGCCCCTTGGCTGTTTTGGACGTCCCAGGCCCGCTCCGAGCTTATTTTGCGGTGCAGCTGAGAGATGGCAGCACGCATATTTTTATTGTACACGTTTTTAAGGATGGCGACCGATTGTGGAGGCACGTGCGGCCCAAGCCGCACAGGCTTTAAAAAAGGAAAAAAAAAATTAGGATAAAAAACTGTAAAACAAAAACCGGTTAAGTGGTTAAGGTGAATATTGTGCGACATCATTATGCAGTTTCCTTGTTTCTTCGAGAATATCTAATTAGATACGAAACACATTTTCATGACGTGCAGGCAACGTCAACAAAAATGTTAAGTGATTGCAGACTCCGCAGTCCATCTGTGGCTGATTTACACGACGTGCTAATCCGCGGATGGGTTTATCACGTGACAAGACGTCCATGGAACGTTAGTCCCCCAAGCGCATCCACACTAAGGAGACGAGCAGGCGACAGCGAGGACATACTCTACCTATTCGCAGCCTTGCAATTTTGCAAAACGCCTACATCGCAGGGTGGCACTGTTTTCCAAGAGCAGAAGTGATGTTTGCGACTAGGATCACGGTGCTATCATGAAAAGGAATCATTGTGTGCCGCTGTTACATACCAAGTGGGCTAAAACATAGCGGCAGGCTTAGAGCGAAGTGTCACTTACTTTACTAACGACATGACACAAGTATGATCCTGCTTCAGTAGGCTTCAGCATCATAGTGATGAAGTCCTGGGGTCGCGGAGAGGCATTTGGAAATAACTTTACACACTGCTCGCTTGTGCACCACTCTTCTGCACAAGCCATAAGAAAGGTCTTGCTGGATGGAAAACTGGGTGGATCTGCAGGACAGATTGCAGCATGCTAGGCGAGTTTTGACAAGCTTCTTCACACCAACCCGGAGGAGTACCAGGACCTGTGGCGTGTCAGCCGGGCAAAGTTCTTGCAGCCTCTTTCACGCGTGGAGATTTAAGAGTGGCGCGACAAAGCAATGATCCACTCTCTTTGTTTGTTTGATTCGAAAACAAAAATATTCGTGAGCTGTTGCTACTCTACCATAAAAACGCTTTTCGAGTTACTCACTTGCCAAAAATCTGCGATTAAGAAGGCACCCTGCCCTTTCAGTATGGGTGTCCGCGGACGAGGGACAAATCTCAGGAATAGCCTACATGATGGTAACTTGACAAATGGTGCACGGATGAAAATTGCATTTCAATGTATCGTGTGAATTTGCCATTATTTGGCAATTATCCTAATATGATCAGTTGATCCTAATTAAGAAAGAACAATTGTTCTCTGAAACAATGTAATGAAAGGAGGTTTTTATAAATGATGCCTGCTCATAATGGAAAAGGCTTGGTGGAACAAAGACTTTCCATAGATCAGATATTACGAATTGCGGGCGTATGCTTAATTGAGGGAAGAGTAAAAGTACAGGCAAGGCTGGTGAATTGCATACATAACTAAACCTGAGACACCGAAAGAAGGACGCGAAACAGAGAACGACAAACACAACACGTCTCAACCACAGCTGCATTTTTGTTTTTTACTTCTTAGTCGGTGGGTTGACTTTGGCAAGTGTGGGAACGTTGAGGGCAGTTCTTTTTCCACCTTGCTGACAATCTGGGGGTGTGACTTAGTGTGAGGGTTCTTGGCATTGACTGCGGTGTACCCCTATAAAATGGTGTGCTTTTAGTATGAACCTGCAGCTGTGTTCGAGACATTATGTGTGTCGTCCTCCTTTTTGTGTCCTCCTTTTTCCCTCTTCCGGTGTCTCAGATTTAGTTATATATGCTTAATCCATGCTCAAAGTGAAGACATGAGCTTGTGCTGGCATTGCCAACCTTGTGTGCATGGTCTATGAAAAGTGCTTAATGACTGTGGTTAAGAGAGAGGAGTTTCTGCTTTCAAGAACAGCATGGGGTGAATGGAAAAGTGTTCTCACAAACAATGAATTCTCCGGGTTACCCGCTCAGTCTAACGGAAGGATGTAGGATAAGCATTTTGAATTCTTTAGGATTTGCCAAGGGATAAAAAAAAAATGCACAGAAAAGTAGGGGGAGGAGAATGGCACAAACATTTTGGGGCTTGTGTTCTTACATTTGAATTTTTTGTGCAGGAAGCATTAAGGCCCGTTCACACTCTTGCAACCGAGTACGACCGTGAGAGACGAGACCGGTTTTCAAGCCACTTGCAATCCCTTAGGACCAGCTGCGTTCTGGCGCATCCCGTCCTAAGAACTCGCAAAAGGCTTAAAAACCGGTCTGGTCTCTCTCGGTCTTACTCGGTCACAAGAGTGTGAACGGCACTTTACTGAAAGAGCACTTCAGTCCTGGGGGCAGTAAGTCATTGCTAGTCAATACCTGATTCCACTGATGCATATCAGGCAAACACCTCTTAAAGGGCCCTGGAAAAAAAAAAAGTTTTTTGAACAGTCTGATAAGGACACTCGTGCCAAAAAAATAAATTTTATGCGAAAATAATTAATTTTTAGAGCAATATTCACGGCAAGAGATTTATTTTAAATTCTGCGCGCAAAGTCCATGACGTCCCGGAATGGTCATTCGCTCTCGCCACCTCAACACGAAGGCGAAGCTGATCTCCCTCTCCTCTACTCGCTCGAAGTGCCCAGAGGAAACAGGTGGAAAGGAGGTGACTACCGACTAAATTGCGTCTCGCGCCGTCAATATTGCTCTGACCAATTTTTTTTTTTCGCGTAAAATTAATTATTTGACACGTGTGTCCCAACAAGTCTATTTAAAAAAAAAAAAAACATTTGTTTTTCTTTTCTGGGGCCCTTTACTGAAACAACTTTGCTCTCATTGTTCTAATTTAACACTATTGTGGGAAATGACTGAAAATTGCAAAATTTGACTGAAAAACTGTCTGAAAAACTGAAAAACTGAAAAATTTGAATGACTGAAAAACTCCAAAATTTCAATGGAAATTTTGCAGTTTCCATTGAAACTGCAAAATTCGCACATTGAAAAGGATTGGTAATTTTTAACAAGATGTTTTGTCTCTTCCAGTTTTACCAAAAAGTGCATAAGGGGTGGACGTTACTTAACCATCATTTCAATCCTGGGGACATGGAGTCATTGCTAACCAGGGCCGGTCACTGCTAGCCAAAACAAGACTTCATAGGTGCATATTAGTACTTTTTTCTGGTATTTATTTTTTTTATTTTAACGAGACAACCTTGAAATGCAGAACAGTAATTCTTTCAGAATATACATAGTTTATAATTTCCAGAGAATTGAGCTCATCTTTCTGAAGTTCCAAATCAAAAGCACGGGCTGTAACCTATTTTTGCCAAACATCTTGCAGTTTTGTTGGTTTGCTTTTCATAATGAACGATTCAACTCCGCTGGTGCAAGGGCATCGATAGATTTCTGGAACCATTAAACACAGATGGAGCACCTTATCTGGCGTGTGGCTTGTTAAAGGGATACTGAACCGAAATTTGAATTTCGCGAAATAAGGCTCTAGAAGCGTTGAACAGGACTCTACGAACTCCAAAACATTACTCGTACATCAATATCTCAAACAGATCGCTGCACTTTTGGAAAAGAAGGGCACGATCAAGTGAGGTCTTTGACATCACTGTCCTCCGGGAGAATTTGAGAATGAGGGGAAGCGGCCTCGCTTCTCTCCTCCTCGCTTCGGTTCACCAGCTTGACACGGGACGTAGCGAGGAGGAGAGGGAATAAGAATCGTGACGTGCCTTGTCTCGTCGGCCTCGTCGGCCGGGCACTTCTTTTCTAAAAATATGGCGATCCGTTAGAGATATCGCTGTATGAGTGATGTTTTCGGGTTTTGCACCGTCCCGCCTATCTGTCCAGCCTTGTTTTGTGAGTTCAAAATTTCAGTTCAGTATCCCTTTAACCTCGAGATGTATGTCCTATGCCTTCTTCCAGGTGCTGGGCATGTTGAGTTTGCGATCCTTTACCCTTACTCCGAGTGCAGCAACTATACTCTGTGTTTCACGATAACTTGACGAGCTGTGGAGGCTGTGGCCTTCCCGACCCAATAAGAGCGTCGAAGCAAGGCACGTGACAGCAACCCCATGGTTGAGTTCGCTGTCGAATCGCTTGGTTGAGATTGCTGTCTAATCGTTTTTACGAATCGCCTACAATTGCTGAAAAAGTAGGTCCCGTAAACAATTCCGGTAAAGTGTAAACACATTGGAATCTATATGGAGATCCCACTGCATCGCGAAAATTAGAACCCGCGAATTATTTCAAAACTTCAGCTTCGACCTTAATTGCGAAATATGGAGCCCGCGAAAAATAAGTCTGCAGTAAGCACAAATATAGTTATTTCCTTATGAAGTCCAGGATTTGAGTGTTTCTGGCTTAGATTTGTCTAGTCTAAACTAAAATTTTGTGCTTAATGGACTGCAGGGATGATTTACTTAACTAAAAGTTCCTGTTCATGCATAGAATAATTTATTAATTATACTATACTAAGATTATGTGGCTACACTTCCATTAAAGGTGTAGGGAAACGAAATTTCAGCGCTCTTTTTTCTAGCTTTAATGTGTTGCATGTTGCACTCTAACCTCAAAATCACCAGTCTTCCGTTGAAAAGCACAAGAAAACTAATTTTAAAGCTAAATAAACGACTTTCAATGTGCACCGGGTGGATGCATTCTGTTATGATCGGCCACCCAGAGAGCAGGTTCGGCTTCCTGGCAGCGCCATCGACCTCCCATCGACTGACCAGAGTCTCGGGCTCGGCATTCTGGCGCCGCCGAACATGCTGACTGACGCGGCGTGGGTGGGGTGCAGCTTCCGAGTGACGCCGAGCGGGCCACCTGGCACAGCGGGAGCTGACCCCCCTGACACCCCGCTGAGAAACAGAGGCCCGCTTCCTCGGCCTTCGGACCGGGTGCTAACGAACGATGGAGACAAGTGGAGACGTTTGGGTCTCGGCGTATGATCGGGACAGCTGCCTCTGGGAAACGGGACGAGAGGGATGCTTGGACCGGGGTGTGACCACGTCGGAGGTCCGCGTCCCGGGAGACTGCAGAGACGTCCCGTGGTGACGAAAGTTGTATGCTATGTAAGTTGACGAAAGTTGTATGTTATGTATTTTCCGTCATGCGGTGATGTATTGCCTTGATAAATGTTTGTGATTGTTTTCAAAATGTGAAAGTTGCAGAAGGTAGATGATTTTAAATATTAGGTCAGTCATAAAATTTAAGTCAATAGACCCTTTTCCAACGTCAGTGCGAACGCCTGTCCGCCATTGCTTGCTCTCATACTCTGAGCCAAGGAGGTTAGAAGTACTAGGAGGGGGCACGTTGCAATATTGGTGAAGCCTAGTCATAAAAAGTTTAAACGATTTTGTGCCCAGTGTGACCACAGATCTCTCTGGCGATTGGTGCGCGTGACATGTCACGTGTGAGATGGATGGTTGATTGTAGAAGGACTCCTCGCAGGCTTGCGCGCGCTCCGTCCGGTAGGCTTTATCAGATCGAAGTCTAGACTGTGGTGTATTCTAGTACCCCATAGCAAGACGAAGGCGAGCTACGGTCACGTGATGTGGTCACGTTGGCAAGGTAAGTGAGGAGAGTAAGGAGGAAAATGAGAAAGAGGCGAGGCGTCAAGGGAGCATGGCTTGCGGAGGCTACGCGGCCGACGTCATGCCCTCTCCTACCCTTCTATTCTCCATGCTCTGAGCATATACTGAAAGCGAGCCCTGCGTCAGCGTTCAGCGAGAACTCAGATCCAGTCACGCACTTCGTGAGCAAGCAGTAATGACAGCCATTGTTGCTTGATAGACTTTTGAAAAGGGTTTACTGACTAGATAGATATTGTACAAACTATTTTACGAGAACATGTAATGTGACTGTCGGTTTTGGTTACATTACTTTCAGATGCCCGTCGGAGGTGCGTCAGCCTGTGACCAACTGGGAAAGCAGATGCAGCTCACCTTAAAGAATTGCCTTATTAGCATGCACGAGCTACTTCAAAGCCTGAGACTGGAGGACAAATAAACGAGCCTGCGGGTGGAATGCATGTTCACAATTTCTCGAAGTTCGAGCATTTCTCTGTGCATGCACTTTCTGCTATCTTGCATAGGCTTTAAAAGGAAAGTGTTTCCCTGCTGAACTTCATGTTTCACTGATGAGTGAACCATGTGGCTAATACGATCGATATACACCAATACGCGGCTCTGACGTCACGTTGCTACGGTGGCGCTGCTACTGTTAGGGCGTATGTGCAGACGCTTAACGTCACGTGAATGTCGTTCTTGCGCACACGCAGTGCTTGCACCTCGTGTAGAAACTGAATTTGTTCACACTCCGTGAAAGCTTGTTGGTAAATAGTGCGTTGGCCTATAGATCATATCAACGATTTAAACTGCATTAACAATATCGTCCATAACAACCATAGGCCATACAAACCACATGGACCATAGAAACCGTACCAACCCGTATCAACCATATGACCCGTACCAACCGTATGAACCACATGACCCGTACGAACCATATGACCCGTACCAACCGTATGAACCATATGACCCATACGAACCATATGACCCGTACCAACCGTATGACCCGTATCCCATAACGCTATATGAAGACCCGTATGGAAAATTCATATGTTTTTTTTTAGTAGGGTTATGCTGTTATAGGTTATTAAGGGATATGTGTACCTACCTAAGACAAATGCAGGAAAAATATGATTGAAAAATAAAATTGGCGTAATCTTTTCATATCTCGATTAAGACTAGCGTGGTCACTGGGCTAACAGATGCGCGAAATAGGAGGGCATATATACCGCTCGAGGCACTTGTCGGTTTATATAAGTAGGATGTTTGTACTATTTTTTGTGGGTTGTGTAATTGTTCAGTGCTTGTATCCGTGTGTGTGTGCATGTACAGTCAAGGACAAAAGTCCCCGGGACGTGCGAGCTGCGGCTGAAACACATTGCTCTGCCATCTGCCGCCGGGTCACCTGGTTTCGAGATCACACAAAAGCGCATGCGCGTCCTACTCTGCCAGCAGTCATGTGCGTTTTCCCGCTCTTCTGTGGCACAGCGCCTAACTCGGAATCGTGCGCTTGGTACCGCCTCGGAGGTAGCGCTGGCGGCTGACGAGCGTCTGCTACACATTCCGAAACTGGAGATACCGCCTGGGTCATTGCGCCGCATTTCGCCGCGTCAGTGCACCACGCTTTAAACCAGTTCAGCTTATCGCTCAGTTGAGCTATAGGTGCCATGTCAGTAAGCGCTACCTCTGAGGCGGTACCACGCGCCCTATTCCGAGTTAGGCGCCGCGCCGCAGAAGAGCGGGAAAACGCATATGTTGGCAGGCGCAATAGGACGCGCATGCGCTTTTCTGTGATCCCGAAACCAGGCGACTCGCCGGCAGATGGCAGAGCAATGCGTTTCAGTTGCAGCTCGCGTGTCCTGGAGACTTTTGTCCCCGACTGTACAGTGTGCTCAACTGTCAAACATAACGCGGGAGCGGTGGTTTAACAGTTGCATTCGCCATCTACTGGAAGCTTATGCGGCTGCTGTTTTCTGGAGTTACACTCCCAGCTCCGGAGCAATCACCGATGCGTGACTCGGCGATAAAAAAAAATCGCTTTTTGATTTTTTTTTGTTTTTTTTTTTGTTTAAAGAAGGTGGCCGTTATTAGAGAGACTGCAAGATCATCGAGCTATGGTAGCCCGGAATGGTAAATGCGTAGATGTGACTAAACAAACTGAAAAAAAAGCACAAATTTAAAACGTGGGTGATAAAGAAAGGAACGAGGAGATCGTGCCATAATTGTATCGGGGAGTGGCGACACTCCCAGGAATAGCCCGCTTATTCTCTGCCGCATCATCCATTTAATCGCTAGACAGCTCTGGTATCAGTTTCGGCCGCCGCTCCCGCGTTATGTTTAGCAGTTGAGCACACTGTACAGTGTTTTACGCATGTCCATCTCATGAGTGAATGTGGCCGCGCGACGGGCAGCAGAAAAAACTGCTCTTTTCTTTTTTTCCAATATTTATCCCTTTTTTTTTTGTCGCTAGATGGGGGTTGTCGCCGCCCAATTTGAAAAGTGTGGTGGTTGGTGATCTATAACTA